GTGAGAGGTGTCATCGCTCCACATCCATGTCTGACAACTGTTCAAAAATATTACATATTTCTTCATGTAATATTTTTTGTTTAATCATTAGTGTGACATATCTTTTTTTTTTAGAAAGTCTGTATTTCTTTCACAGGAAGAAGACATGTACAGGACTCTGGACGAGGCCATCGAAGTGGCCCGGTGCATGAAAAGAACCACAGACCACATGGCCAAGAGTCTGTCAGCAGACCTGGCCAAAGCTCAGCTGTACAGGAAACAGTATGGCTCTCAGCCAGTAGGGGACAGGAAATACCATGCATTATGACAGTGGTGCAGACTAAGTTAGACGTCTAATTAAGAAACAATCTTTCTTGTCTCTGTTAGCACAAATAATGATTCAGTAAATTAATGTTTTTAAATAAACAAGTTGACCTACTACAATGGTTCTATGACAAATATGTAACTTAAAAAAATTGCACTTAATTTCATCATACAATAAGTTATTAATATACGAACACAGAGCATGCATTGTAGTTCCCCTGCCTCCTCAGCAGGGGGTGCAATAAACACGGTTTGAATGGGGTTTTTTTTCCAGAAGATATATCACATAAGTTGCAGGAGCAACCTCAAGGTTCTATAGACAGTCCCTGTATATAAGTTATTTGGCCTATAACAAAAGACCAAGGTGATCAGTTCTGGATTGTTCTATCCTTTTTCAGTAAATCTGTGTGTGTTAAATGATGTTAAATCAAAATAAATAGAGATCAGATTGGTAATATAATGTTTCAGGAAAATTCCCTGCCATCCCTTTCCTTCCTTTCTGTTTTCACTGGTGGAGCTCATCTGATGCCTCCAATCCTATCCTGCTGGCCTGTGGCTGCTCTCTGTCTCCTGTTACAGTTTCTGTAGGATGCATTTGTGGCTCTGTTCCTTCACAGTTTGACGCTGATGGGCTGTGTTCAGTTGTTTGTTGTTGAGTATCTGGTTTCCCTGTTGTTCCTGAGGGGGTATCGGGAAAGAGGATTCATCCAAACAACGTTCTTCACGTTCCTGTTGACGCAAACAGGTGAACCTGTTGTGTCTCGACATCAGCACACATCAACAGTGTCTTCTCTGTATTTGTCAGGTTTTCTCCCAAATATAGTATAGTCCTCCACAGTCACCCAGCTCCCCCTGTCTACAGGTCACTGTGTGGGAAACGGTAATATCAGGTAAAAAGAACACAAAGGTTACAGGAAAGCCACGGCTTCCTAAGGAAAATAAAGTTACAAAAAAAAACAAAGAAATGTAGAGCAAAGGTCAATGGTCAGCGACAGAAGCACCAACTGAACAGCAGACATTTTAAATAAAAAGAATTCCGTGGTATAATATGTAATGAAATATAATTATGTTATTATTTAACCTGTATGTAGGAATGAGCAGCCTGTCCCTGACAGTGACACCTGCTGGACCGACACCTGGAGGGCCGGCCTTTCTCTCTGTTCCTCTGTACTGGGAGGGTGTGTGTCCTTTAAAAGGAGGCTCCATTTTATGGAACGCGGGTCTTTTGGGAGTTGCCTTTTCTAAAGGTGTGTTTTTCTGTGTCCCAGATGTATTTACAAAGCTGACCTGAACTGTTTACTATTATGTAGAAACAGCTTTTCTTCATGATCAGTTTGTCTGAGACTCTGTGGGCATGAATAAGTTGATCAGGACCACAGCTATTTCAGACATGAATCTCTTAGGGTAATTCTGGGGTCAGAGGTGACTTTTGGTTGCAGTGATGAAAAATCTAGAACATGAAACAATCACTTGCATCCTTTTAGTCATACTGAATTACACTCAAGCACAACAAGACAATGCAACTGGTCACTGTGGAAATCCAACACTGTTACCCTCCGTTCTTTGATCTCTATTAGAACCAGAGGAGAGGATTTCCATTTGCTGAATAACAGCAGGATCCTAGAAATGATCTTCTCTCTAGATCTTCAGTGTTATAGGGTAAAACAAGTGCAAGGTAAATGCTAATGAAATCGTGGACCGTCACATCCTAATAACAGATTTATTTCAGGAAAACCTTGTCACACTGTTATGGTTAACCAGTTTTAGATGGTAAAAAAATTAAAAAGTACCAATATGTAGAAACAAATACTTTTAGCAAAATCTATAGCAATAATATCATTAGCCAGAAGTAGATCAATACCTCTTACATACTAAAACAAAAAAGTGAATTCAGCTTAAAGTTGCCAAACATCCAAGATGTAAATAAAATAGCTAAATAAATACAAAAGGCCAAAATAAACTGATTCCTAAAATGTCCCGTGTCACGACAACATAATATTTATCGCATTTTTAAATGTTAGCGTTTTTTGTTTTTGTCTCTTGAGGCAATGACGCAAAGAGAGTTTCATCTATCACTGCATACAGAGAAACCAGGAGAAATGAAATATTGCTTGCACGAAACCTTAACCGGCACAGACGTCCTCCTGTACACACCCTCAACAGAAATGGGTCTTCACTTCCCATCAGGTTGTTTTCTGTATTTAAAGAAGGAATGCTTCTGAAGACTAACCCAACAACATAGGTAACTGAGACTTTTATTCCAAGTTTTGAGGTCAAACGTGAAGTTGATCTACCACAGGTGAACTGCGTCCTCTCTCTCTCTCTGATGCACCACCCCTTCTACCCCGAGGGGAGGAGTCAAAGCCTGTGGGCTCTTCGGTATTTGCTGAAACAATAAAGGACCTGTCATGTCATCAAAAAAGAGGGAGGGTGCTAGAGAGGGGGAAAAATAATAATATTAGGCTCCAACTGTTACCCCCAAGTCATTTTCAGAGACAGCATCGTACCATTTGCCCCAGGCCTAGCACCACAGAGCAACGCTGAAGGCATGGGGACAAGACAGTTAAACATGATAAAACTGTTACTATTAGCAGTGACCTTGGCAGAGGTAAGAAATAATCACTTTATTTATTATTTATTCTTTACTTGATAAACCACAGAGGATGTTGTAGACTTGTGGATCTGCAGTTGTGTTTTTTTCTATTCCTGATATGATGCATGCACATTTTGACATGCAGATAAGGGACAGTGAGCAGCCGGGGGGATTTTTTGAACATGAACACAGGCTCTTTTCAGTGTCGCTGCTTTCAACAAGTGTGTGTGGCTTGGCCAACTGCAGCTCAATAGACAAATTCATTCCATCCTGAAAGAAATACCTGCTCTGAGCAGACCTGAAATCTGTGTTGAGTGAAAGTAATGTGCAGCCTGCTGCCTCTAATGGTCCCAGAATATGATCTGCAAGGCATTTTCATTTTTCAAGATGAAAACCCAGTCTTATTTTGTCTTATTCTTAACTTTTCATCTTATTTTTTTTAAATTCCATTTTAGATCTGTGCCGCCCAGAATGGTAATACATTTTTTTTACCTTTTGTTTTAGAAGAGTAGGAATGAATTACACACACACAGGTGCACCCTAACATTGTTTCTGCTCTTTTCCTCTCATCAGACATGACACTGTCAGTGTTTACAGTCACATCTAAGACTATGACCCTGCAGTGGAGCGGCTCGTCTGAAGCCAGCTCCTACAAGATCACCATTACACCCAAATTCTCCTCCAAACCTCCTGTCTTGGTTCACTTCGGTGGCAACACAAAGATGGCCTCGATCATTTCCCTGTCACCAAGCACAGTGTACACTGTCAGTTTGGAAGCTATGGACAACGGTCTCAATGCCATCGGCACTGCGCAGACTGAGGGCATAACCGGTGAGTCATGATGACGTAAAATATCTTCTAAACGCAGTATTTATTGGGGGTATTTTACTGCTAAAACAGAGGCCGAAACAAATGTGTCCAGATTGAGAAATGCTATCCCAAAATTCATCAGCTCAACTTTTGTTTGTTGTTGTCCAGCTCCTGAGATTCCCAGCATTATCCAGGCCTACTCCAAGAAGAGCGACAGCATCACGGTGGAGTTCACTGAGCCCACACTGGAATTTGCGTTTGAACGTCAATGGTCCCCATCTGCCATCAGTTACCTCCTGAGGGCAGAGAAAGAGGATTTCTTTCTGGAAGTCCCTGTGAGCGAGTCACCAGGCACCATCATTGGCCTCGAGCCCTATACCGACTACACAATCAGTGTCATGTCCGTCAACTCAGGGGGGAGGAGCCAGCCGTCATACCCCGTTGAAGTCAAGACAGGTACGATAAAAAGTGTCGGAGTCGACAACAGTTAGTTATTCAAATGATTTAACCCTTCTAACTCTTCATCATTGCAGTAGCATCTGTAAAATGTGTCGTGTTCAGACCGACTTCACAGCAGTTCACCTATGAGGGCGCTCTGCTGGGATTGGAAAACAGTTTATCTGTTGTTCCTGTCCAACAAAAGACTATTATCTCATACTGCTAGCCACAACAGCATGCCATTTCAAGCCCATTGTCAACCGGTCGTTACTCAGCTTAGCAGGGTAGAAACTGTATCTGTTTCTTTGCTTGATTCTGTTCTGCTGATGTGAAATGAGAAACCATGAGAACTGGGTTGTCCCCGTTCCTAAAGGACAAAGAATTGTCATATAATCGCAGAGAGGTTGTTTCCATGTCACACCTCTAGGAAAAAAAAAATCATACATTTGTTTCTCCACTTCGTTTCCTAATCTAATCTAATAAGTCCTCGTTTGACCCCTCCTACAGTGGTAACTGCACCTCTGTTTAACACCACCTCCCCCGCCAACGACACCATCGTCGCGGACTGGCCTGAGGTTGAGAATGCCGTCCTCTACACGTTCACCATTATCCAGCAGGGCTCCAACTCCCGCTTTGATTTCAACACCACTGACAGCAGCATAACTTTCACCGACCTGGAGGCAGGGACCAACTACTGCATCAAGGGCACATCCTGGGATGCAGAAGGCCGGCAAGGAGACGACTACACTGCGTGTCAAATTACACGTAAGCACAAACCTTGAGCTGATTTACAAATGGAAGAAAAAAACTAGATGGCAGTTCTTGGTAACATCTTAAAGGTGAGTCTTTCATCTGCAGGTCCTGGGAGTCCAAATGTGGCCCACATCGCTCTGAGTTCAGGCCGCACGTTTGGAGTGTTTGTGTACTGGATACCAGTGCAGGGAGGAGATACCTATGTAGTGTGGATCTCCGATGGTGAAAACTGTACAGCCACGTCTGAAAGTTTCTGTAGCATCGATCCAGTGGAGTGTGGCGAGAGCTACACTGTCTCTATCGTAGCCTCTAACAATGCTGGTTCAAGCGAACCGTCCGTGCCAACGCAGTTTGTCACATGTGGGTATAGCACTCAACACCTCACTGACATTAAGTATTTAAAACATGGAAACCAGACGTCAGCCCAAAGATGGCTGTGTTGCTTAGAATTAGCAAACAGAGACAAAAAAACAAAATTTAAAGCCGATTCGACAATAAAAGATCAAGTTCAAAGGTGCTTGAATTCGTGAATGTAAAGTAAAGCACAAATACATATATAACGATATACAGTGGTCCCTCGTCTATTGCGGGGGTTACGTTCCAAGATCGCCAGCGATAGGCAAAATACCGTAAAGTAGAGACGCAATAGTTATTATATTATTTAGGCATTAACCCCTTACGAACCCTTTAGGAGGCATGGTAGGGCGTGAAATATGGCAAAAAAAAAATACTCTGCTTATACCAACCTAACACTGGTTCCGTGTGACATTGTCTTAACCTCCAGTTCTTTTTTTCTCCTAGATCCATGTCCTCCAGAGAACATCTGGGTGGATGAACCAGAGCCAAGTAACTGCACACTAATGTGGGATCCAGTGGCCCTGGTGGACTTCTACATAGCTTACATAAAGAGAGATGATGGATACGAGTTGTCGTGCAACACCTCAGAAGCGTCATGCAACTTTTTCTGCATGTGTGGCTACACCTACCTGACCACCGTCCTACCCTACAACCAGGCCGGCCCTAGTCCTTACTCACCTGTCCAAAACTACACCACCAGTAGGAAGCCCACACAGTGGCATCCACTTAAAGTCATTATTGTTCTATGATTTTCTATTTAATCAAAGTCCAGGTACAGTATTTGTATCTTTGTCATGGTCAAACCTTCCATAAGGTCGGCTGTTTTTTGTAATAACACAGTCATCTGCATAACATAACACTTACTGTACCTCCAGTGGGAGCATCAATCAAATCAATGGATTACCAATTGTGTTTTTACTGATAATTGCATCTCATTCTTTAGTTGAGAGGGGTTATTTTTATTATTGACCTAAATTACATTAAATACTACAATCACACTGAAGGGAATTCATGTACGGTAGGCATCACTGACGTTGGAGTGCCCCAAGAAAGTTTCATGGCAGATTTAATGACAACATGCAATTGTGCCCTCTTTCAACCATTTCCTACTCTTTCCACTTCCATTTTCCCAGTTCCCTGTTGTCCAAATGATGTTACTGTAAGTCTGGTTTCTACGGAGACCCTGGAGATCACGTGGACGGCTGTCAATGGTGCTGAGCTGTACGAAACAACAGCAGCAGAGTCCTGGAAAACCATCCATTGTAATGACACGGCACCAGTGTGCGCACTCTCTGACCTGAACTGCAACACAGCCTATTCTGTGATAGTCACGCCATGCAGCGAGATACGTGGATGCAACAACACCTGCACAGCCCAAACACACGAGACAGGTAAAATGGCGTCCTGCATTCGAGCTGCGGGGATTTGATTCAGGAGGCCGTGAAATGATTCGAATTATTTATGTTGAGCTAAGAAACAAAGAGAGATAAAGATCAAGATAAAGGTCGTGGACTACACCGGTGGACCCCAGGCTAACACAATAAAACCATTATATAGAATTTAATAATGATGTACAATTATATATAAGATGAATATATTTATTATGAATCATATTATTTGTTTTTATGTAGATTGGTATTCTCCTTTGAATAGAGCTTTTTTTTAGGGGGGGGGAGGGGGGCAGAGTTGCAGCCCTCTGCTCTCTCATGATTAGCCATTTCCACCATCTTGAATAACCAGATCTGAACTTTGATAAAATGCCTGTTTCCCCAATGACTTTCCCTTAATCCCTGTCTGCGTTTCCACAGCTCCGTGTTCTCCGGAGATCTTGAACATGACTCAGTCAAACAATTCTACGTACAGTGTCTTCATCACCAATCCCAACGTAGGAGAGACAGATTACACCATTACGGCCACAGGACAACAAACCCTAACGTGTCACACAAAAGAGAGCTCCTGTGATCTCACTGAGCTGCCCTGCGGCTCCTCCTTCCACGTCACGGCAGTGGCCACAACGGATGTTGGAGAGAGTTTGCCTAGTTACAGCAAACTTCTGGAGACAGGTGTGATTATCGCCCCATGCTACAGTTAGCCATTTAGTGAGAAAAGTGACTGAAACTGATCATTTAGAGAAGCAGCTGTGCCATACTTATGGTTACTATAATGATTAATGCATTTTGGATAATGATTATTTGGTCTGGCTCCTACCCAGGACCGTGCTGCCCTACAACTGTGGACGTCACTCAGGTCACACAAGCCATGACCAACGTGACCTGGTCCAGCAGCACCGGAGCTTATTCCTTTGTCACTGCCCTGACATCCATGCATGGAGATGCAAAATGCCACACTACGGACCTGCACTGCCTGATGGGATGCATCACATGTAGCACCAACTACAGTGTAACCCTGGAGGCCATCAGCAGCACTGGACACAAGTCCGAGTGCAACTATCAGGGATTCTCTTCCAGTGAGGAAGACAAACTGTACATTCATTGTTTGTGTGTTCAGGGTCACAGGCAAAATTAAAATAAAACTTGGTCAGAGCTCTTAAGTACAACCTGAGGAAAACAAAGTTGGCCAAAAATGTAAAAAAACAATGTCAAACAATGTCTTCAAACTTAAATAAAAACAATTATAGGCACAAGTTTATTTAGCAAGAATAAACGAAAGTTCTCCAAAATATTGAAAACGATTGAGGTATAATGTAGAGCTAACGAGACAGAATACATGAAAAGATTGTTTTTGTTCAAAAAGTGTAATTATCTCACTATTAATGGAATAAAAATATATATTTAATATGAAATATAACTCAAAAGCAAATATTTTAATAAATAGTCAAATTTAAATAATAACATCAACCTGAACTATGATCATAACAACAACATTTAAAGTAAAATGTGCTTAAGCTACTTTCCTTCACACAAAATACCTGAACATTGATCAAAAATATTTAAAGACTGTTTTCTGCAGGTCCCTGCTGCCCGACGGGCATCAAGCTCTACCGCAGCACCAACAACACTCTGAGGGTTTACTGGCACTCAATGGGTCCTCGCATTCACACCCATGTAGTTCAACTGCGTGGGAAGGGGGGAATCTACACCTGCGAGGCACCACCCCCCAACTCATACTGTGACATCGCAGAGACAACATGTGGGGATGTGTACAGAGTAGATGTGGCACCAAAGGGGCCCAATGGCATAGTGCAGTTCTGCCACTCAAGGACATACTCAGGTGACTCATCAGAACTATGAACTATGTCATCACATTTTACATACATTTTTGTCCAATATTATATTATAATTTTTTTCTTTTTCAGTTCCCTGTCCTGGAAGCAACACTGGTATGTCCATGGAATTCCACCAGTGAAAGAATTTATGAAAAACCTTAATTATTGTTTTTAAGGAAATGTTAAGCAAAAAGTAGTATCTTCTTAGTGTAGATTAGATCAGATCAGATCAATTTAGATTAGATTAGATTAGATTAGTTTAGATTAGATTAAATTAGATTAGATTAAATTAGATTCGATTAAATTAGATTAGATTAGATCAGATCAACTCAGATTAGATTAGATTAGATCAGATCAACTCAGATTAGATTAGATTAGTTTAGATTAGATTAAATTAGATTCGATTAAATTAGATTAGATTAGATCAGATTAGATTAATCATTTCTGATCCAACACAGATGGGGAATTTGTTAAACATTATTGTTCAGTAACAGCATCAAAGCTGCATGCTATTTTCAGTTGAATGTCTAATTGTCGGTTGTTTTTTTATTATTCTTTCTAAAAAGGAATCTCCCGTGGAAAACGAAGTGTGAGTTAAAAGTAAGTATCCTTCATTTAAACCTGCCCTAACTAACTACTAACTATTCTGCTGAATGTATATCCAAGTCAGTGAGAAAGGCTACTTTCACACATTGAGTTAATTTGGTTTTAACTTTGGTTGCAAACGTATGTACAAGCAGAAACAGGTTGGCTCTTTATAGTAATCAGTTGTTGTTATTAAAGCACACGGGAGCTACAGACACCAAAAAAAAAAGTTTCCAGGAGCAGTAGCAATAAATTAAAAGTAAACCCACAAATAATGCTAATAAATTGAGGAAATACTTTTAGCAAGACTTTATAAATAGTCACATAAATTACTACAAAAAAGAACGTACACAACATATACAAACCAAGTTATCATACAAAATCTAGAATAACACCACAGAGATAGGAATTAGCTCTGTGCTAACACACTTTTTTCCATCTTTTCTTGCCTGAGGGTGAGGATTGTCCTCCACCTGCTGACCAACAACCAGAGAGGACAACACTTCCACCAAGAACAACTGTGAAGATCCCAAATATATATATATATATATATATATACAGTATATACACGTTGAAATGCACACTTACAGAACTAATGATGAAAAGCTAAATTCTGTTCTGAATTCACCCTTTTAAATTAACACAATTTGCTGTAAGTGATTGAACTTGATTTGATTCCACGAGTACGAGAGTGAATGTGATCATAAATCCATGCTAACGCTGATTGAAAAAAAGACAATGAATGAAAAATAACACTGTAGGACATCCCCACGTAGAAGGCCTTCTTAGGGCTGCTGCCTGACTCTCAGAACTGCAGAGAGCATCAGTCACAACGTCAACACATGGTCGGAGTATGACCTGAGTCATGGATGGTCAGCCCTATGAATGACTCATCTGATCAGATTCTAGAAGGTAGATTCAGTGTAACCTCTGCTTTCATTGGATTTATTTTCTCTGAGTTGACAGATGACAACAATAAAAGACATTGTTTCTGCATCACAACGTGTGTGCGCTGTCACTTTCTTTATTTTTTTAATTTATGAACTTTATGAACTTTGTTAACAGCAGATGTGCTGCTCCAGGCTGCCCCTTGGAGGCGCCAAGCACAAACTGGGCAGAAATTTCTTTGGTTTAATTTGGTTTATAATTCATGTGATAGGATCATATGATCTGCTACATCAGAATAATGGACAAATGTGATCATTTTCACATGGACTTGCATCTGGTGATAGATAGATAGATAGACAGACAGACAGATAGATAGATAGATAGATGGATGGATAGATGGATGGATGGATGGATGGATGGATGTTTTCCACTGTAGCATGTGTGTCTGTTTAGCAAACTGGGATTAGCTCCTGTGTCACACTTATCAAGACTGTATAAATAAATGAATGAAAGGCTTTGACCTGCATTTATTTAACATGATATATAAACAGTGTGACACCAAATAAACACAGAAGGTAAGTGAAGAGCTTCACCTTTGTTTCTCTGTTAATCCAGAATAATACACCACATCAGTGAATAGAAGATCTTATAACCCAAGGAGTCCCTGTGTTACAGTAGGCTGAAAAAACCCTACACCTTATACACGCTGTCTATCACACTAACAATGTGCAGCATGCCATGATTTAATCTACCAGTATATCATTACTGCTTTGTAACAGGTGAGGAAATTTAACATCAATGTGGAATTTGTATTTTAGCTCATTTCAGAAGAATATCATTAAATACAATATAATGTAATTCCATTAACAAGAATGGATTTTTAAAGGGCTGTGTGGTATATTTTGGCTTTTGTTTTCAGCAGG